ATAGGTCAAAGATAAGGAGAAATATCACACTTGTGGGAAAACACATTTATTTGTCCCACACACAACTTTATATTACCTTTGCAGTGATCATGGGAAAGTCAGTTCATGATTTTTCTTGGTTTTGAGATATTTGAAAATGAGCCCTAGATAAAGGTATATGATTTAGAAAGCATGGTCATCGATTTGTAGGTTGAAGTTTCTAGTGATGCCAATTGGGCCGATAGTATTGTACATGAATTATCTTGGAGGCAACCTATGTTGAGGATTATTGGGAGTGTCCCACGTTAGTTAATTTAGTGGAAGATCATGGGTTTATAAGTGAGGATTACTATCTCCGTTGGTACGAGGCCTTTTGGGGAAGCCCAAATCAAAGTCACAAGAGCTTATGCTCAAAGTGGACAATATCATACCATCGTGGAGAGTCGTGATTCCTAACAACCTAGTGATCTGATGAAGCAGATTCCTAACAACCTAACGCATAGAAGTGGTGCTGAAGTTGAGTTTAGAGCTTTAGTCCATGATATTTGTGAGGGTATATGGATAAAAGGAGTTGTTAAAGAATTGAAGTTATCAGAGAATGCATAATTACTGATAAGAAGGCTGCCATTTCCATGGCTCACAATCCCGTACAAAATATATTGAAAATATCTCCTTTTTTTTTTTTTTTTTTTTTTTTCTTTTTGGATGCCAACTGATACAATCTTAGTTTCCATGAGTTCTGCGGTAGCCATAATAGCTATGAATGTCACAACCCTATAAAGGCAAAGTCCAGATATTTCAGTTTTGGTGTATGTGATTCCAGGTTTTGCACTTGCGGCGTCAGCTCCATCTTCTCAAAAAATACCAGGAGAACAAGGTCGATCTGGATCTAAGTGCACCACCTCCTTAGCGAGAAGCCAGGCCAGTTATTCTTCCTCCCCTTAATCCAACAGTGTCTACAAAAAATTGTTCCGGAGAATTGAATTTATTTATATGAGGCCCCAAATCAAAGTGTCGATCAAGATATGACAACCTTGTAACAGTTAGCTGAAGGCTGAAGTGGCCATTGCAGAAGATTTCTGGTGTGTTGATTCAAGTGAATTAGTGTGTCATATGGGGTCCAATTTTGACAATGTTGGCAGGTAATAATTTATTTATGTAGATCATTTTTCCTGTGTATAAATTAAACTAGTTTGTCAATGAGTTTGAGTTGCCCAATTCAATGAAAATATTAACTTAATTGTTTCGTTTAATCTATTTAAAATAAGACGTCTAAGAATATAATGTCTATTATGTTTGGTCTTACAAATGTCGAACTTTCTTATAAATAAATAATATTTATTTAATTTTCATTCATAAATAAATATTTGATAATACATCTTAAATATTAGGGTTTTAATTTTAATTAACAGTTAAGCTTACTAATTATCTTCAAATAAATGAATTTAATAAATTTTAAAAATTAAATACCATGGTTATCAAACAATGGTTAAATTAGACACAATGTGGGTTGAAACTTGATAGACTACGGGCAAAAATTTTGTCCTCCTCGAGAAAATATTTTGATTAAAATACCACATCTTGTCTTTTAATTTTATTTCATTTTTAATATATTTTAAATTTGGTTCGTATAATTCCAAATTTAGAGCATTAAAGTATATACAAAAGCAAAATTTATATTTTAATCATTTTTTTTTTTTCAAACAGAAAAAGGCGGGCCCACCGGTAAGCGCACTCTTAAATTTGATTCAAAAAGAATAAAAAAATCTCGAATCTGTCGTCTTCGCTTCTGATCTGTTCATGGTGGAAAGAAAATGGGAATAACAAATGGAAGAAAAGAGGAGACTTCCATGAAGAGTATCCAAATTCTAATCGAGGTTCTTCCAGTTTCTTCCCCCATAGATTGCTTGCGGAATTACCGAAGTTGATGATCTTTCTCTTCCACAATGGCCGTCGCCGGATTTTATCGCAGAGTTCTTCCCTCTCCTCCGGCTATAGATTTTTCTTCTTCCGATGGAAAGGTGCTTTCAACACCTCAGATCTTCTTTCTCCGTCCCTTTTCAATTTCTTGATCATTCTCTTAATGCCTTTTTGCTTTTTTTACTGACTTTAGCTGTATGAATCTTGCAGCGTCTGTTTACTGAGGCGCTTGGAGATGGAACCATGGAAGGGTTTTTCAAGTTGATTTCTTACTACCAAACGCAATCGGAACCGGCTTTTTGTGGACTTGCCACCCTTGCCGTTGTCCTCAATGCTCTTTCTATTGATCCTGGTAGAAAATGGAAAGGTCAGTCCAAATTCGATACTTATTTTCCCTTATTAATCGAGAGCCCATTTTTCATTGGATCTGCTACTAGCAACACTAACAATCGATGAATTACAATCCCATACCAATTTTAGTCCTCAGATGTACTGTAATATCCGCTTCAGTATCTTGTATGCATACATCGACCAATGCATTGATTTTTCTTTTCAGTCATTCTAATACTATGTTGGAAGTCCCTTTTCCAGTTTGGAGAACATTCGCAATTTCAGTTCCAAACAGGATTATTTGGTGCCCTGGCTATTTTTTGCTAATTGGATAGGACAAAACTGTTCTCTGTCAATGAGCAATATTTAGACGCAAGAAAAGAGAGAAGATTGGATATACCTTCATAGCAACAGGACTCATGTAAGTTTGATGAAACGATTGTTCTTGTTTTCTTCAGGTCCGTGGAGATGGTTTGATGACACTATGCTGGACTGCTGTGAACCTTTGGCAAAGATCAAAACTGATGGTATCACATTTGGCAAGGTTGCATGTTTGGCTCGCTGCAATGGTGCTAAAGTGGTAGCTTTTAGGGCAAATGAAAGCACCATTAATGATTTTCGCAAGTATGTCGTGTCATGTTCATCTTCTGAGGACTGTCATGTGATCACTTCCTACCATAGAGGAGCTTTTAAACAGGTATATCGAAGTCTATATCTTCACCAATGGTCTTACTATATGTCCTCAAAATTAGCTGTAGTAACTGAAAGAGGTGTATAGTTTTGTAAATCTAAACCAATGAGCTGAAGTTTAATATATTATATATAAGAAAATACTAATATAATAGCATAAGTTCACCGCTAGCAGATATTGTCTTCTTTGGGCTTTCTCTTATGAGCTTAAAAATGAGTTTACTTGGGAGAGGTTTCCACGTCTTTATAACGAATACTTTGTTCTCTCACAATGGTTCAAGATGGGGCCCTCGTTCATGAGAAACAACTCTTGACATTCTGAAGATGTGGTGTATTTGATCACTTGTCATAGAAGTTAATTATAGGCTTGTCTTTAACATAATAATTGGTTTCAGACTGGAAGTGGCCATTTTTCACCAATTGGGGGTTATCATACTGGAAAAGATATGGTTCTCATCTTGGATGTTGCGCGTTTCAAGTATCCTCCACACTGGGTTCCTCTTACCCTACTGTGGGATGCCATGAACACAATTGACAGTGCAACAGGACTACCTAGAGGGTAAACCCATATTCTTATTTCTCGTGTTTATTTGTGGAGTAGCTTCTGTTCTGCAGATCCATGTTCTGAAGTTTTCTTTTTAACGCAGCTACATGATTTTATCAAAGCTTCCCAGGGGACCGTCTATTCTTTACACTCTGGTACATCCTTTTCATAAACTTCAAAGTTGTTTGATAAGTCTCTAAACTTCAAAGTGTATGTTTTTAGGTCTTCTCGTCTACGTACGTGTTAAGAATTAATATTGAACACTGGTCGTAAATTCGTTTTGTGCAGAGTTGTCAGCATGATGGTTGGAATAGCGTTATAAAATACTTAACAGAAGAAATCCCCCAACTTTTGAAAGCAGAAGATGTGAAAGATGTAAGGGGATTACTTTCTGTAGTATTTAAAATGCCACCTCCAAATCTCAGACAATTTATCAAGTGGGTTGCAGAAGTCCGGGAGAAAGAGGATGGGAATGTAAAACTAAATGCAGAGGAGAGAGGAAGACTAGCTGTCAAGGTTGTTCTCTAGAGCTTCCTTCTGTTATTTTTCTTGCTATGATTTGTTTTATGAGGTTTAAGTATGGGAACCTCAGGAAGAGATATTGGAACAACTCCGAGCGACTGAACTCTTCAAACATGTCAAACAATGGTTGGCATCTGAGACACTCTGCAAAGGCTTGACATCTTCGTTTGACAAAGATGAATTACATGCAATTGCAGCAAGTGTTTGTTGTCAAGGGGCAGAAACTTTAGGTGGGAAACGATGCTCGGCCGATCGAAGTTGCTGCAAAACCGATATCCATCTTTTGAATGGTGAAAATGAGAAGGCAGCAGTGGTGGTGGCAGGGAGCGTTGTTAGTAATGTTAGTACTAAACAAGGGGTAGATATGTTGGTACCTTTGTGTAAAACAGATGAGTGTTGTTGTGAGTGGCCATCTGTTGTTGATGTTCTAACCATATTGTTGCTATCACTGCCCCAACATATTTGGTCCACCGTTAAAGAAGAGAAGCTGTTGGCAGACATTAACACACTTGTTGCAGAAAAGAACCTTCCTGCTTTGCTTCAGGATGAGGTAATCCAGCTTTGAGCTTCTTTGTTTCCTTTCTGCTTTGGTTTGAAAAAAAAAAAGTACATCCATATTATTCCTTGCAGGTTCTGCACTTGAGACAACAAATGCACCTTCTTATGACTGATCTCGGCTCTCAATAGTCTTCCTCATCTTCTTCATATTTCATTCTTCGGTAATGTTGAGAATTTATATTTTATTGTGTCTGGTTGAATTTTCATCTCATTTCTTGTATAAAACTAGCTGCTGATGAAGTTTGTGTTAGTATTGCGCTATATTTATTCCCCCCAAAGCTGGCATTGTAGTAATGGTCAACTCTCCAATGAGATAGCCATTTTATGTTATGTTGTGGAAACAATCAGATGTTAATGAATCTGGCATTCATGGTGTGGGATAGTTAGATTAAAAAGGAGCTCTCCTCTTATATAAACAATGACAAACATCCTCCTGCTTCTTGACGAAACGCCGCATTATCATCAAACTTCAGCTTAGCATCAGCAGCAACCAGCTGATTATCACCACCTTCGCAGCCTCTTCGTCTGTAATTCCTTGGAAAACATCAATACGTTACCTTCCAAACAACAAACAAATGGATGACGTTAAAACATCGCTCCTTGCTTGCCAACACTGCCAAACAACCAAAAATATAATCATATCTGGGAAGTTCTCAGCAAGATCTTCAATGCTAGTTCCACCCTTTCTACACGCAATTATAAGCTGAAAATTAAGCAAATTCATATTTATTTTATTTTTAAACAAACCAATTATAGGCACGCATGGTAATGAACATACTGGGAACGGCGGTTTTACGATCCAGAGTGATAGCAAAGTACATTTCGTTGATAACTGACAACTTCTCACACAGATCATCCTGCATTCAGATATACAGAGAAGAAGAAGGAAATCAAATTAATTCAGTCATTAAAACATCAACAAGTGTTCAAAAAAGTCAATAAAACATCAACAGTGGGTCATAAGTATAATAAATAAAAGGCTTAGCCAATGGGTTCAATCTGAGGTGTTGACCACGTTACTTGGGATTTAATCTCCGATCAGTTTGCTTGGTACCCAAATGTTATAGGCTCAAGTAGACTATCCCTCGAGATTAGTTGAAATGCATGCAAGTTGACCGAAAAGTAACTCTAGAAAGTCTAATTCGATGTTTAAGTGGTGATAGCCTAAATAATATGGTCTTTGTCAACTACAAGGTGAATTTGCTCAATGAACGCCCACAAAAACTAAAGAGAAAAAGGCAACATTCCACTTCCTCACAAAGTGAATTCAACCAATGCAAAATCTTCTTCCAAATTGTTGAGTCCAAAAATTGGGCCTTGAGGAGCTAATACTATACAGTACTAGAACCTTGAGAAACTTGGCAAGGTTTCAAAAAAAACAAAATCATGTACCAAGGCGGAAGAACAGAATCCACAAAAACTACTACATCTAGATTCACATATTCAGGAAAATTGTGCATAAAGGAACTCGAGCGACTACGCAGGGTCGAAAGACATATGTTACCTTACTGACAACTTTGCCCTGGGGACCAGTTTGTTTAGCGACAAGTATCTGCCCAAGTTTTTGCCAATTTATAATGTGGCATTAGCATTAGCATTACGGTAGGGGCGGAAAACGAAACACCCTTTGTAAAGACGTGGAAACCTTTCCCTAGTAGACGCGTTTTAAACCCTTGAGCGGAAGTCCAAAGAGGACAATATCTGATAGCGGTAGGCTTGGGTCGTTATAAATGGTATCAGAGCCAGACACCGGACTATGTACCAGCGAGGAGGCCGTTTCCCGAAGGGGGTAGACACGAGGCAGTGTGCCAGTAAGGACGCTAAACCCCAAAGGAAGGTGGATTTGGTGGGAGTCTCACATCAAATGAAGAAAGTAACGAGTACCATGAGAACGTTGGGAGGAGAAAGAAACACCCTTTATAAGGGTGTGGAAACCTTTCAGGGGTGTATTGTGAGAACCCACATTGGTACATTGGTTGGGTACACAATGGAGAAAGAAACCCCATTTATGAGGGTGTGTGGAAACCTTTCCCTAGTATTCGTCGTTTTAAAATTTTGAGGGGAAGCCCAAAAAAGAAGAGAACAATATCTGCTAGCGTTATCAACCGTAACGATACCTACTTTTTCAGAATTTGTAAACGCCCCATGCTTACCTCTTTCGCATCAGGAAAACCAGTTTGAACTGCGTTTTTGCTTCATCAACAGAAGAAATAGCAAAATACCCTTAGGCAAATTGATCCCATATTTGTTCATCAACTCAGCCCCCTGATCTCCACTGTAAAGACAACAAAAAAACAAAGTTCGTGGGCAAAATGAAAATTCTCTCGCGGATTTTAAATCAAATACAAGAAGCATCCAAAAACAAAAATTACCCAAATGTTATGACGCCTAAACATGTCCAGAAATCAAAATCCAGTATATGCGCATAGTTAAACAGAGTATTAGAAAAAAGAACCTGATACTCATGGACGTTGAGACGGCGGAGCTGTTGCTGCTGCCATAGTTAAACAGAGTATTAGAAATCCAGTATATGCGCATAGTTAAACAGAGTATTAGAAAGAGATCGAGAGACGATCTTGTTGAGCAACCCCCTCACCATGTCGTGTATGATAGAACGATCGATACAATCTGCAGAAAATGATGGTAGCAGAAGGAAATGTATGGCCTTTTTATGGCGGAGGCGGAGAATGATCGTTCCAGCGAGGGAAATTTCTTCTTCTTCTTTATTTAATTTTTTTAATATACGTTAATATTTAGTTAATTACTATTACGTCTTTTAAAATTAGGGTTTAGGGCAAGTAAAAAAATAAAAAGATATAAATGGTCTCTTTACATAAATAAAATATAATTTAAAAATAATTTATGGCATTTAATTTTTTTAAAAAATACTTTCAAAATGATTGTCGATTTTTAAGGCTTTTAAAATATAAACGGATCCGTCCAATCTAATATATACGGTGAAATCAAATTGATTTTGACTTAAGGCATTAGATCGCGTGTCTCCATTACGAGGAGTCATGAAAAGAACAAGTTCAAAATCACGATCAATTCCTTTTCAAATCTTGCGGCAACACGAGCCCTTCCTGGATGTCATAAATGACCTCCGAATAGGAAGAATCCTAGAACAAAATGAGAGGTAGCTAACCAACTTCTAGGAGACATAATTGACTGCATTAATTTCGGTAGCTACGCCACCCACGAAATTTAAAGAACCTAAAGGAGCAAATGTAATATATTACTCGAAACCTCGTCGTTCCTGCCAAGGTTGTATGTCTTTTTTCAGTCTACTCAAGTCCAAACTATTAGGACATCTTAGTGGTTCCAACACATTGGATATTTTCCTAAACCAATAGGTCTTTATCGAATCCAACATTAGCTCCAAGACGTTGGTCTCTAACTAAAAAAAGTAAACGCTTGAGCTTGAGAAGTTTCGGGTCCAGTCGGCCCATAGAACTCACTCGAAGAAGGAGTAAGCTATTAGTTGTTTGTATTTAATAGTCGTCATTTATAATAATTTGACATTTGTACCGTATCTAAATTAAACCAAACAAACTTATTTATATGATTTTTTTAGAATATATAACTGAGCATACGATTATTTTAATTCTAAATAGATTTTATAAAAATATAATGCTTAGAATAAAATACATTTTTTTATACAATTTTGATAAAATATATTTAACTCGTCTATATTAATTATACAACAAAATATTTGCGACTCAAATAAATGTAATATTTTTCTTTTTTTTTTTTTTACAGAAAAAATAGGTTAAAATCCAGATTTACTGCCATACATATTACTCTACTCTACATTAACCAATTTTTTTAATAAAATACATTAGTAAAATAAAAGTTTAGTGGTGGTAATTGTATAATAAGTACGTAAATAAATTCAATTAAAATTGGAAATAATAATAATAAAAAAAAAACAAACTTAAAGGTTTGGTTTACAAAATAATTATTCAAAAGAATTTGATTACTTAATAGTAATAAAAATAAATTATTCATTCAACAAATTTATAAGAAAAATATTGTTATTATTTTTTTATTAACATGTAAATTAATTAAAAAAAACAAAATATTGTAAATTCCAAGCCACAAACCTAGATTTAATATTTATTTATTTAAATTCGCAAAATTTCAAAATATATTTTCGTGTAATAATGTACGTATTAGCATAATTAATTAATTAAACTATTTTAGCTATTTTATTTCAAAGATAATGGTCGTATAAAGTAATATTATTAAAAAAAAATTAACTTTATTACCATATGTATTTCTTAAATTAAGAAAATTTTGGTAGTACTTTTATAATCACTAAATAAATTTAGTCAACGAGTAATTAAATAAACCATTAATAATACATTTTTATGAATAAATTCGTGTTGAATATATTTGTATTAAAAAAATCTTATATATTTGCACATAATTTAGTAAATACTCTCAAATATTTTTTATTTTGGACAAAATAATATATATTAATTAAATAATTCATATATTAATAAACTTTTATTTGTTACGAATTCTAAATTCACCCATAAATTACACTTTTAATAAATACACTATGAAATAAAAACTACTAAATTATGCAATTGGAATGGATTTAATTTTTATAATTGAATTCAATTCTTATTTAAAATTCAAGTGGTCCCCCTAAAAAAAATGGTCCACAGCACGCCACATGTTACACAGATAGGGTTAAGAAAAGGGGAAAAAATTAAAATAAAATCATAGGTTTAGCAACCGAGCTAGCTGGGTGGGATTGACAATACCTTGAAAGTGGGCCCCACCATGTTTCAACAAATTAGCCACCTCCACGTAGGACTGGTAATTCTTGGGATGCAGCTCGGCTTGGCGTTTCTCGTTGAGGTCAGGTGGTGAAGCCGCCATAGACACATCCGGATGATCCCAAGCTTGGCCAAAGAGGGTGCCTTTGGTGAAGAACTCGTGAGCCAAGTAGCCGGCTAGGAGGTGGTTGGATTGAGGCGGTGTCGGCTTCGATACTTTAGCTGTGAATGACAGTTGGTGGGCCTCATCATCAAAGCCCTTTCTCTCTTTCCTCTTATTGGGCCTGGAACTGGGCCCATCTGAGGTCATTAGTCTACGAGGAGGTAAACGCATCGTTTTGGTGGTATTCATCCTGCCCCTCCCCCCTTAACCCTCTAACCTAAACCTACCACTGCCAGTTCACGCCACGTCAGCAAAATATATTCTCTCAATCTCTCTATGTATTAATAATTATTTAAATAAAACGCCCCCCAGGCCAGCCTGATAAATTAATTTAATAATTTATAAGGGGCCTAAAATAAAAAATAATAATAATAATAATAAATAAATAAAATAAAATAAGCCGATGAAGGTGAAAACTGAGAGAACGGGAGAAAATAAACCGTAACGGAGACGAGGAGAAACAGAGGAACCAGTAGAACAGAGAGAGAGAGAATGAAAGAAGCTTGTCTTTGAGAGGACGAGGCGGAAGAGGGAGGTTTTATTTATAGAACTTGGCCTATGGATTTGCCCATGATAATGAAGGAAACTACGAAAATGCCATGAGGAGTTAAATTACCAAACTACCCCATATTGGCAATTTTCCCTTTTTTCATGCCAAACGTACGGACTTATCTGTTTTTCAGAAAAGGAAGGGAACTAGATTCTTATTTATCGCTTCGCTATCATTTTGTTTTTTAAAAAATACTCTCGCGTGTTAACAAATTTACTCAATTCTTCAATTATAAAATTTCACTAATCAAATTCTTCTAATCTTTAATTTCAATATACTTCTTCTAATCCCACAAAAAAAAATAAATCTTTAAGAATAATCATTAATTTCAATGAAAATTATTTTAAAATTGTTAAAATACTTTTGTAACGTTCGTCATAACTTTCAAACACTTTCTTCATCATCCCGATTAAATTTAGAGTAGGTAAGTTCAATGAATTTGACGCTTTTGCACTGAGCGATATCTGGCTTGTATCGTTGGCCTACCAACATGAACGAAGCAGATTCAATATCTCTAGTTTCATTGAAAAACTAAGATGACGTCGACATTTATGGTATAGTTCGAGTCGGACGTCTTTAAGCATATTAAGACAACAACAAACTAGCCTTAATAAGAATTTTCACACGTGTATGCCGTTTTACCTTCCTTTTACGAAAAAGCAGTCTACAGTACCTAAATAACTCCCGATGATGAGTCCAACGCACTTCTACTCTTGCAGTCATATTTTTGCGTTCAAAGACATGACAAGTGTACTTATTTTTACAAAGTCTACCTGGAAATAGTTATTTAATTATTAACTGAACTAAAAGTATTGGTATAATTTTATTAGAGCGACAATCAAATATACATCAAGAATTATAATAAGAAAATTTTATTATATTAACTAATATTATCTGATTTTATTAGAAGATTATCACGCTATCTAATAAAATATTATACTTATCAATTTAAATAATAAAACTTGAAGAAAAAAAAAAAAAGCTTATAAATTACTTTCATTTTATTTTTTAAAAAAGTATTATTTATTTATTTGTTTTTAAAAACTTGGTGGTATTTTTATAAATGGATGGCTTAAATATAAACTGTTTCAATGCTGCTGCTTAAATAATAAATAGTGAGTTATTTTTATTTCCATTCAAATAATAAATAATTAAATGGTGTGAAACCTTCTCTCCCCAAAACCAACTTACTTTTTTTTTTTTTTAGTTTTTTAAATAAAGGATAAGTTTCTATTTTCAAATATAAGGAAAATACTTTTATTTATTTATATTATTGAAGAAAAATTATTTTAGATAATTGGAAGGTTCAAACATAATATATTAATTAAGTTTTTTTTTTTTTTAATTTACAATTGTCAACTCAACAAACTATTTGTTTTATGAAAAAAAATAATTTATTAAAAATTATAAGTCAAAGTTTTGACTTTTCATAATGGTTTAATACTCTAATCTTCTTTAACATAATTTAATTTAAAACGAATGTCAATTAGGTAAATTTCTTAAGGATTACTTTGAGCCAAACACGCTTAATTATATTGAGTTCTAAAAAAGAAAACGTGCATTTCTTTATACAAGTAACCATTGTTTAGACTTAATAAATTATTACATTTAGAATTAATATTTTTATATTATTTTATCTATTTAATATAAAATTGTTATTATCTATTGTTAATTTCTAATTATTTGTTACTTATTTAATTATTTTTAGTAATTAAATTAAACGGTTTTGTTATCCATATTACTTATATTACGTTTAATGAATGTTGAGGTAAAATATTTATTTAACAGATTAAAAAATCAATAAAAAGTAGAAATTATTTAGGTATATATATATTCCGGCATTTAACCTCCCTATTAATTTTTTTTTTTTTTAAAGTCAAACGGTAATAATTAAATTATTAATTTTGGATCGACTTTTAAATTAATCTCTATTATAAATGGGAATAAAATTAAAAAGTGCGGATTAAAAATCAAAGGGGTGGTGGCGCAGTTGGCTAGCGC